GGTCGGTACGCCATCAAAGCTTAGTAAGATATTGTCGCTGGTTATAATGACCGGCCGGTCATTTTAAACTAAATCGACTTTTGTAAATTTAATTAAAAGGTCAAGTGCAGAGAGGTAAATATAGCTGATTCGATCGTTAGTACGAGAAAACTGCTTATATCCCTTGAAAAATCAATTTTAGCATTTTGCCTTTAAAGAAGTGTCTCTATAAATGCTGTTTTTGACTGGTTTCCCGTACCTAAATGGGCTGCTAGCTAAATTGCTTTCAGCTTTAGCAGCTTAGGCCTCATTCAGAATAGGGCACTAACTAATGTGGTTTGATATGCAAATGTATTTCTCTTTATTTCATCTGACACACACATGCCCTAGAGCTCAGGGTAATAATTGTGTACCAGACGTAACTTGAGGTTGAGCGCTGATTTTATTGTCGGGCTGGTCGCTGTTTCTTAATAGGCGTGGTGAGAGCCTTATTTATCATTGATTTTATCTATCATTCATTATTTATTTACAAATAGGAGTACTGAAAGTTTTATTAATTATTTATATTTTTATTTTTCTGTATTTTAAATAGGGGTGATGAGTTTTATTAATTTTTATGATTAATTACTTTTTTATAATTATTATTAAAAAAGGTAGTAAGAGTTTTATTTGATACTTTTCACATGACTTTGTATCTTTTTCAAAGTCTTTATCACAGTAAGTTACTAATCATCTTAGTTTAATATGTCCAGAATTGTTCATAGATTTACAATCCATAAATTCCTGTTATCGAGTTCTAACTTTCTAGATTTTGAGCTGCTTTTGTAATGAAAATTGAGAAAGGTGAATTTCACTTTGGATCATTTTAGAAAAAAAAAAGAAATTTAGAATTCCAAAATTGGTTTATGGATGTTCATATTACATGTATAATAATAACTTGATCATTAAGTTAACAAACTGTCTTTTATCACTTGTTTGATATTTTTGGCCTCTTGAGGCAAACGGCTCAGCGTGTGTGGGGGGGGGGGGGGGGGG